TCCTGATTTTTACTTCCTCCATGTTCATGTGTGTTAGTGGGACTTTATCTTTTTCAAAGTAATTCAATGTATTTTAAGAAATTTTATGATTTTCATTAAAGAATTTTTAGATAAAAGTTTTATTTTTATTTCATTAAAATAATTCCTCTCTAAAAATATGTTTGATTTTTTTAAAAATGAATATTTTCAGTTCTTTGGAATATTTAAAAATCTCTTAATTATATTTGATTTTTAAATAGAATACACACTAGCATAGGTGGTGTAGTGGTGGAAAGGTTTGTTTCTTGATTTGGACATCGAATTCACAAATTATAGTGAAAATAATGATATTTCTTCTTTAGTGAAGTTTAATTTTTTGCACTTTCCTGTGCATCAAAACTAGATTTTTAAAAGCTAATTTTGATCCTTAAAATCTTATCTTTCTAACAAAATTTGTGGATCATGATTTAGGAAGTTCATGAAAAAGAGTATTGAAACTACCTCACTCACCAAGGTAAGGGTGATGAGGTATTTCAAGTAAGTAGTAAAGAAAGGAATAAATCAAAGAGGGTTGTCCCTTGACCTTAAGGTCTAGAATGCATGTATTAGGAGACATGTGGTATTTGAATTACATGTTGATATCCTTGAGCCTTTACTTGAGATTTTCTATGTTTGAAGTGTAATTGTAAGTGTATGTTTGATTGTGATAACTCTTAATTTTATTGAGGATTAATTTGCACTTGACGTTTGAGTAAATATTGTCTTATAAAAACTTGTGAATTATTTAAAGTAAATTATTTAATAAAACAAAAAGAAACAGTTGTTGAAAACTAAAAATTGATTAAATACAATGCTTTATTGAATTGCCTAATATGAGTAATATGCCTAGTGTATTTGAACAAGTTATCTTGTGTGTTGTAGTCTTTGAAAATATATGGTTTAGAATATGTGTTGATTGTGTAAAGCATTAAGAATATGCATATATGCAAGTTAAGTAGGCACCATTGTGATGATATGCTAAGAGGAAATTTGTACGTAAGTATATGCACTCTAAGGAGTTTGGCCATGGTTTCAACTTAGACCCTGAGTTCAATAATTGAATCTAATGACTAATGTAACTCTAGGTAATGGTTGAAACTCAAGAAAAGAGATGAAACTAGTGAGCTTAAAATACTTAGAGAATGTGCATTAAGGCACTAATATAGGTATTTGTCAATTCTCTCTCTCTATATATATATGGTTATGAATAGTTGATGAAATCATGTAAAATCATGTGAAATCTTAAATTTGGCCAGCGCTTGTGTGTGTGGTTAAAGGAGTGAAACTCCAAAAGTGTGTACGACTATTCAGAGGCAAATGTATGCAAAATCCCACTACCCTGTGAAGGAAGTCATGAGATTATTTTATAACTATTGTTGGTGCAAGAAGGACCTCGACGTCTAGGAGATTTAATAGAGTTTAGTGCTTACGAATAGTCGAATGAGTGTCCTAGGCTCTAGAACTCTAGTTGAGAGTCTCCACGCTATGCTTTTTTTATCCTAGCCTTCTCCTGAGATTTATCTTGTTGGTCAAGCTAAATCAGTCAGTAGAGATTCGAGTCTCCACCATACATGCAAAATATAGGCTAATTAGCAAAACTTTCAACAACTTTCGAATAATAGGATTGTTATGGATCCAAAGTTGCATGAGCATGAAAATGAGATTTTGCCAAACTAAGAGTTGTCATTCACATTAATCATGCATCATGTAATTAAACTTGCATTTTATTAGGTTGTAAAAGTTACAATTGTTTTAATGTGACATATGCTCGTACTTACTTTATTTTGTTTATTTTTTGAATATTATTTACAACATATCTCACTCTTTCTTTCCTTGTTGCAATGTATTATGGTGTTGGACATTTTCTTTAGTTGTCACAAATTTTGAGGATGACATTTATCCATCTTTTTCTCCACGTTGAATTGAAATTTGAAGAGGATCCTTCGGATGCCGAGGAGGTAAAGCAGGACATTCCAAGGAGTCCTGCTGTTTAGTTGTTTATTTTGTTATCCACTGTTAGAGAACTCCACTTATTGTATAATGGAGAGCTAGATACTTTATGTTTTATTTTTGGTAACTTGAGTGTAATATACTTTGTTTTGGTACTCTGATGGTTTTGAATTGTGTCTTTAAGACTCTTGGATAATTGGAAATTACTTTTGATAATTATGTAATTTATCTAAATGACTAGGTTTATGTTATCAATTATCTTTTGATTTTATTTTGGATGAAATTAAATAGGCAGAAAATTGGTTCTTCAATGTATGCAAGAAATGAATGTGAACTCTGTGTATTCGTGGTTACACCTTAAATGTATTCTATCCCTAAGAGAGTTTTAGTTAAGTGATAGATCACATGTTACATTTCTTATTATTACTGATTGTCTCACGAGCAGATGAAAACGATTGGAGTCCACTTGCACGGTTATGTCAATATGTGGTATGGCTATATTATTCAAGTAGTACTTACTAATATCATGATTTTTCAAAGGTTTTGAGCATGTGAAAATAAAAATAATGAAATCACATAAGTAATTATTAGTAATAAGAGTAGGACATGTATTTTTATAAATTGTCGTTTATCTGGTGGATAAAGAATTAAGTTCCATGTTGTAACCACATGTTACTTAAAGTATATATTAAATAACAAATATCTCAATACTTAAGAAAGATAATGTTATCCATAAACCAGATTGAGTAATCCTAAGTACTCGTGTTGTTTAAAAAAAATCTCATTTTGTCTATGACTCTTAATAGTTATCGTTATACATTACATATCACGTTATCAAAACAGATAAGAAGTAGGATCCCCACATTGCGCACAACTTGTGATAAAGTTAAGTGCGATCTTGCTCAAACATAAGTCGCACTAGGGTGAGAAGACTTGTAATTTGTGCATAAGTCACCTAACCCTTGTGCGACTTATGCACTAGCATGATTGTGCTTATTATTGAATAGGACGTATACCTTTTATACAAAAATTCTCAATTGATGAAAATTATATGTATTTTATATAACTTTTTGAGATTTATCCAACCAAACACACAAGAGGTTTGGACAAATTTTTTTACCAAAATTTCAATATTTTCCCATGTTTTCTAATTTTTTGCATTTTGGTCTGATGCTCTTCTGTCACTTGATTGTGCAACAACATAATAAAGGTGATGACCTTATATTAATTAAAATTTAATTAATGTATTTTATTATTATTAAAAAATTAACTGGCACTGAAAGTCAACATAGAATGCCTTTTTGTATTAAAGTGGATGTCACATCACCCTCGGGAAATTTATGTTTTTAATTCTAAAGGAGTTTAGTTAAATAGATTTTGAAAATTATATGAAATGAACATGTGATTTGCATATATTGGAGTTTTGTTCAAAATATTATAACATTTAAAATTTACGACCAAAAAACTTGAGTATAACTTGTGTTAAACTTGAGCTTGTCCCATTCTATAAGTCGTACCACTTTTAGATAATTTATATTCTATTTTAAGATAAGTATTCCACGTGCTAACCTAAGCATGATTGTATTAAATTTGAACATGTCATATATGAACTTGAACTAACCTATTTTTCACAATGAGCATATCTCATGTTATAACTTGACATACCATTAATGTACTAACTTGAACACACAAATTACCTCACACTTGTAAGCGACTTATATATTATTTCTAAAAATAAGGACAAATTTTGAAGTTTTAAAAAAAGAACATATTTACAATTTTTTATTTTTTATTTTATTCATACAAATAAACCTCTTTATTTTTTTCTCTATTTCTTTTTATTCTTTTCCACTCTTATCCAAATGAAGCCTAAAGTTGAAGTTAACCAAATTAATTTTTATTTTTAAAAATACTATATTTTCATAGTCTAACATTTATTTTCTAGTGCATCATCAATTATATATATATATATTTGTCTCTTGCCTTCAGCCTTATTCAAATTAGCTTATGCTATTTCAAGAGTTTGCTGTGCTTTTTGTGGATCAATGTCACTACCCTTCTCTGCATCATTTACTAAGATAGTGATCTCAAAATTTTCCTTATCTTTAAGGTTTCATGTTTTAATAAAACAAAAAATTACAAATTATTTCATTTTTAGAAGATTAGTTAGTTGGTAAGGCAATAGCTTACCAAGGCGATGATCAGTAGCTGATCTGAGAGTATGATCAGCTACATTGGGACTGAGACACGACCCAGACTCCTATGGGAGGCAACAGTGAGAAATTTTCTGCAATAGGCGAAAGCCTGACGGAGCAATGCTGCGTAGAAATAGAAGGTCCACGGGTCATGAACTTCTTTTCCCAGAGAAGAAGCAATAACGGTATCTGGAAAATAAGTATTGGCTAACTCTGCGCCAGCAGCATATATATATTACTTTCTCCTTCTTCTTTTACCCACTTTATACAAAATAAATGAATAATAATAAGTGTTTTTTTTCTTTTTTATGTATCCCATCTCTCAACTTTTTTTATCTCTTTCTTTTTCATCCACATTTCACATCCTTTGATCGGGTATAAAATTATTGAATATCAAAGTTATTCTATAGGATAAATAATTTCATGGAGTAATGAATTTAATATAATATATTAAAAAATTATCAACTTTTTACTTAACACTTTATTTACAAATTAATCAATAGAATATCAATAATGTTATTTATCCTGCAAGATAACTTAGACAAACCCAAAATTATTACAATTATTAGAAAATTAATAAGCATTTTTCCAAAACATTAGTTCCATTTCCCCCCTACATTTCAAGAAGCAAAACATATATTTATATGCATATGCTCGCCTTCCAATTCTCTATAATTAATTTCCCTTTTGATATCATAAAACCAAAAACAAAAGTAATGCTATCAAGTAACTAAGCACTAAGCAACAGCAGAATCAAATAAAATTCGTAAAACAACGAGACACGAAATGCATGCATTTCACGCACATACACAGACACGAGACCCACAGTGACGAAGATCAGCACCGCCATGCAGACGCAGCTACAATGGCCCTATCTTGCCACCCAAGCAACAAGCACCCTTTATCCTCTGTCAATCTATACCCATCACACGAATACAAACCCAACAAAATCTTCGACTGAGTAACCGCATTAGGACTAAGAGCCACACCCTTAAAGCCTTTCCCTTCCATCACCTTTCTCCATTTCTCCAACCTCTCATGCCTCTCAATCCTGTCAATTCCCTCACACGCAACAATGTTCCTTATCTCAGGGGCAAATATATACTGTTCCACCTTCGCACGCTGCGCCGAATCAGGAGGAAAAGTCGCATCCAACGAATCAAAAATGGCTGAATAATAATGCAACGCTTCCAAAAACCTTCCTAGAAAATAAGGCCCATTATGGCTCGCTTCTTGCTCAACCAGCGTTACAATGTTGGGTGCTTGGTCTCTTATCATCGTGAGTAAGTTTCCGAGGTGGTTATTAGGGACACGGTGCAGGCGGTTAACAGCGTTAACGGCGAGAGCCTCGCCGACTCTTCGGTTGAACATGTGGGGCTTGAGGTCTTGTAACTGTTCGCCAACGGCGTGAAATTCGAAGGGGATGCGGAGGGAGTGGGCTAACTCCGTTAAACAACGGCCGGTTTCTCTGACGGCATCGGCGGAAGGACCGACGCCGGTGATTCGGAGGAACGGAGCTCCGGCGGGGCGTGCGGCGAGGGCTTGCATGAAGGCTGGCCATTGGTAACCTTGGAGGATGTCGAGGTCGATGACGTGGACGCGTTCTTCGCCTTCGAAGGCTTCAAAGATGGCTTGGTTTGCGGTGAAGTGGGCGAATTTGATGTAGGGGCAAGCTTGGTATACGATTTGGTAGATTTTGAGGACTTCCAGGGAGTTTGAGGGTGATGGTGATGGTGATGGTGATGGTTGTGATTGTTGGGGTTTTGTTGTGGTAAGTCTTGCCGTTAGGGATTCTGTGAAGCATGCTGCCACGCGTTGCATTGAGTCTCCCAAAGGTGTTACCACTCTGTTGAGGTGATGTAGGTACCTTCTAGCTAACATGTATTCTTCTTTCGCCACTGCCTCTGCACATGCTAGCAACAGGTGCACCAGTTGAAGCCCGCTGTCTTGCTCCTGTATTTGTAATATCCCATGATTCATTGGATTAGAGTGATGTGCATTGTGTGGTAAAGTTTTTTTCTTTTTTCATTTTGTCTGTATTTCACATAGGAAAATGGTTCCCGTACATTCATGGAGTCTATGTAGACAAAAAGAGAAGAAAACTGTGACCAGTAAGGTGAAAAAATAACCGGGATAAAAAGAAAAAGAAAAATAAAAGTATGGATAAGTGTATGAAAATTAATTTTTTTTATATACATGATTTTTTGGGAAAAATGTGTCCAATGAATTTTTAATTATTGAGAAAAAAAAAATCTAAATAGAAACATGTATGAGAAACGCTGCAGTGACCTCCTATTATCCTATTATATGAGAGAGATTATACGAGGGCCTCCATGAATACGTGTTGTGGATAAATATATATATATATATATATATATATATATATATGAAAATTATTCTTAATTTTTAATTTTTTTCTATAATACCATGTATTTAGATAAATAAATAATTTAATTAAATATTTGTTTGATAAAAGTTTATTGAATTAAAATATATTCATAAGTTTGATCCTAAAATTTATTAAAGTAAATTAAAAGAAACTTCTAAAATCCCAGACTACTTTTATAACATGAAATAAACTTTTCTGAATGCTACTATGTTATGCTGAAGAAAATTTTCGATACGGTATCATGGGGGATGGGGGGTCTTAATTACATTATATTGTTTCAATTAAATTTAAATACGAAGCTTTTGGTGCGGAGGACTGAGGAAAGATATTAATTATTAATTACCTGCTCGATTCCTATTGGAATAGGCAGCATCAAAGTCTCTTGCTGTTGCTGCTTTTGCTTTTTCTCATGGTAGCGTTCTTGTTGTAGAGCTTGGGACAGTGATGCACTAGCCATAGACCCCATCTGATGATGATACATGTCACTTTCTTGGGACAGTTGAGATGAACCACCACCACCACCATGCACTGAGGAGTCCTCACTAACTGATCCACAATACCTTGAGGAATTGGGCATTGTTAAGCTATCCAATATGGATGGAATCTGCGTTGACATGTCAAATGAACTTCCAATATCAGAAGACACCTTGGTTGATGAATAACCACACCCATCTCCTTGATAATCCTCCAAGAACTCTTCTATTGCTGGCAGTGAAAGGTTTTCAACATGCTGCATAAATTGATTGTTTGGAGAGTTAAACACCCTGTGGAGTGGGCTTAGTCCCTTCCCTTTGTGGCCACTGTTGAAGGCTCCAATTTGGGATGATGAAAAACGAGGTGGGGAACACCCTGATAGGCTTTGACCTTGCATTCCTTGAGCATAATTGTAGTTGCAGTTGTAGGTAGAGGCTTGTGGGGAAGGAACGTTCCTCACTGGGGAAGAGATCATGAAATCCGCATCTAATTGATCGGCAAAAAATGATTCCCACATTGAACTATCTGGTGATTGAACTTCCACATCTCCATCTAAGTCAAATTTGAGTGAAGGAAGGTTTAAGCTTGGTGGGGTTAGACTAGTTTGCTCTAAATCAAGAGAAGATTGAGTGGCATTTTTCTTAGACTGCAAAACTGAATCGTTTGAGGAAGTGGGTTGGAGTTTGGTTCTTGAGTTCTCACTCTTGAGGGACACTGAGCTTCCACACAGTGAATTGATCATCTTTTTTTTCTCTCCCTCCCTATAGAACAAGAATTAATTCGCACACCTTAGAGGCTCACAAGTAAAGGTGAATTAAGCTATTATTATCTCAGTGCTTTTGCATTTTTGTGTCTCAACTTTGCTCTCATTTAGTCTTAGTGCTGTGTCCTAGGTATATAGTTAGGTTGGTTTATGGAAAGAGCAAAGTCTCTAATTTCTCCCTTTTTATTGAAATTGAATGCCAACTAGTCCAAATTGTATGAGAGAGGCAAGGGAACAAGAGACAACACCTAATTCCAATAGTATGTGATTGGAGGTTTGTCTTTGATAATCTCCATTCATGTCGTGTCAAAAATTATTTGCTGGATTTTCAGAGGCTTCATTTTTGTCATTTTTTTATTACCTGTTTTAACTGTTTACCGCATGGCCTTGGAATACTTGTACTTGCAATAGATGACAAATGTTTGAGGGTCCCACTTTCTTTGGGCCGGCCCATCTGTCCACAAGGTTCTTCTTTGGAATCATGGGTATGAAAGCATTGGTTGATATTTGTTTTTTCAAAAAGAAAAAAAGGGAAAGAAAGAGCTATCATAGACAACTAGGTTATTTAGACCATACAATTAAATAACAGTAAAACAGTATTAAGTAATCTCTTGCCAATATACATCATTTTATCCAAATAATTAAAAAAAGATTTTAAATTTTAAATATTGTAAAATTATTTTATTTTCATAATCTGAAAATTTTTCTCAACTCAAATCATAGCTCTATCGTAATTTCTTATACAACTATAGGCTTTTTCTTTTAATATGAAAAAAATGTAAGTGAGTGAAATCTTAAGAGCTCATAAAGCTTTAGAGATATCTCAAGGCTTAAAGAGCGCTTCCATGTGTCCTCGTAGATTATCGCTTACCAATATGCTTTTACAGTGTTTGAATAAGATGTGTAGAAACTTTTACCACTTAAATGACTATTTTTTTTAGTTGATCATAATTTTATTTATCAACCTCTATATAGCATATTCTTTCCCAGTTTTATTTCTTAACTGATCATATGTTTTTCTTATTTTGTGGCATATGTTTCTCAACTTTCATATCAAAACAAATTGTTATGCTTCTGTGATTGAATTAATGGTGAGAGAGATTTGAGTAATTTATATGATGTGACTATTCAAATCTAGTTACCACCGTTGAACAATAAAATCAAATCATTTTTTTCCTTTATTTTTTTTAAACTAGTCAACACTCAAATTTATTAATTCAACATCGAATTAACGCATCAACTTACAAATCACCAATAAAGTAATTTCCAGTCAATTAAATTAATTTTTGAAAAAGTTCAGAATTAAAAACTTTTGATACTCATATTTTATATCTTTTAATTTGATCTTTAAGTGCCATTAAAACAAATTTTACCCAAGAAATAATATTTTTGAAAAATATTTTCACATTTTTATATTTTATATATATTTTAAACTATTGGCACAGTAATTGCAATTGTTACTTGTTTTAAGAAAATTAATGTGATTAGGAGAAAGTAGTTTAAATTTTAACATTGTAATATAGATAATAAATTGTCTATGATATTTTAAAGGTAAAAAGGAACACAAGAAAGAAGAAGGTCCTAGATTAACATTAACTAATATCACTTTAAATTTACGTTGCACTCCTTTTAGAATAAAACAGATTAACATAATTTTGAGCTATATTTTTTCTCTGAGCACAACGAAATAGCCTAGCTAATAAAAAGATTGGCCTAGCCAAATAGTTTATTGGTATTGTGTTGACAATTTCTCGCATCAATCAAGGAAGAATTAATAATAGAAAATAAGACGAGAAAATGAAAGGAGGTGATGAAAAGAGAAGGAAAAAGGACAAGAAAAGGGACATAGGCAATGTCGTCGGATACAACGTGGGTGAGCCGCCCTGCTCCTTTGGATTTGCCAAAGGAATGGAGTGCTTGTCTCCAACCCTTTTCTTTCTTCGGCGGCATCTCTTTATCTCAACGTGTTCACTGTTTTGGGTTAACTATCAATCTTCAATTTCAATATTTTCCATCTTTTTCTATTCTCTCACTTCTATTATTCTAACCAATCGACTAATTACTCTTGCTTCATCAACACATTTGATGGTTGAATTTGTTTATACATGGAGCGGAAAAAATAAATGTTTTTTCATGCCACTTTTCTATGCTCTTGTCTCTTTTGTTGTGATTCTAATACTGTTAAAGTGTACAAAGTGGTTTGAAAACAAAATATATTTGTATAGATGACATCTTACCATTTTTTATAGCATGAAAAATTTGTGTACCTCACATGTTGTATATAATTAGTTTTAATTAGGCGAGATTGTATAGGGATGACTAGTACTGGATTCTCATTGTTGGGATGTGTAACACCTTAACTTTAATAAATAATTTTTGTAAAATGGAAAAAATAAAAATTTTCAATTAAATAATTCCCAACACATGGTTTCGTCAAAGTGTTTCAGAATAAGAAGGGTTTACAAATTTATATCAAATAACTGTTACAGAACTAATTCAATTACATCATATTTTCAAAATAAATCTAAGCCTTATAGCAGTATCATCCACTCTTTCACTGAGCCGGTGTTGATTGTCTTGGTCACCTGAAAAATAAATGTAAGAGTGAGTACTCTACACTATTCAACACACCCACAACATAGAGACTCACCTTACCACCCATATGTATTCTAACATATTCTATTCAAGTATTATCAATCACAAACAACACTCATTATATATTCCATTTCAAATTACAACCAATGCGTTTACTACACCAATAACATTTCACACACGTGCGCTCATTGCACGTAGCCACGCTCACTGTGACACTATGACCACAATTTCACACCATGGATGGTCATCAGTTATCCCTGCCTCACGGATACCATGTAGACGATTACGAGTCACTCGCAAAGGTGTTGGTTAGAGGTCTAGTCAGGAGGGGAGTGTGTGACATATGGTGCACCCACGCTCACTGTTGGTGTCACCACCACTCTCTCTTTCCCAAGGTATTTCTACCATTCTCATCTTTCACACCTCTAGTGTATTGTTGAACCATTCATAGCATATTCACAACCGCATTTAACATACCTTTTCACACACATATCAGCCACATACAGTATTCATTCACAGCAGACGGCACACAAGCCCACATTTATTCACAGCGCATGGCACACAGGCCCACATTATTTCACGTCACATTCAAAGCATAGCATTTCCAACATAATTCCAATTACAACAACCATTCTCAACACCGACTATATTGTAGTCGATCACATGATTTCCATCACAAATCACTTAAATCAAATCATTTTCATCACACACATTATACAATCTCTACTACATTATGCTTAAACATTGAATCCGCATCAAAATAAGCAATTTTCAAGCACAATGAGATAGGGTAGAGTCTCTCTCTTACTTTGGATTGAAGACGCACGCACGAAATCAACTAAGGAAGTGCTTCCCACACGAATTTCGTCCTAAACACATGAAAAACTCCATGAGAAATCAAAGAGAACTAAGAAAATAGAGAATGAGGATGAAAAACTAAAACCCTAACCATTAAAACTTACCTCCAAGCTTTTCTAACATGATTTCAACCTTCAATCTAACTCCCGAACGACTTTGGAGGCAGTTTAATTGGTAAAATAAGGTTTTAGGTCATGAGAATCGAAGAGATTTTGAAGAGAGGAAGTGAAAATAAGTTTTTCAAACCCTAAACCCCTTAAATCCCCTTCTGATCACGACACTCTCGCTGCAGCGAGATCCTCTCATTACAGCGACATGCCCCCTCGCTACAATGAAAATCTTAGAGGAAACTGCACTTTAGTTTTTGCAGAATCTCGCTACAGCGAGACTGCACTCAGAAATGCACCCTCCACTGTCGCCCTCTCACTGCAGCATGAACGCGATAGTTTAACTCCTTTTCTCCCTGCGCCTTCTCGCTACAACGAGATATTCTCGCCATAGCGAGAATGGCATAGTTTCACGCTCTTCGCCTAGGGTCTTCTTGCTACAACGAGAATCCTCTCGCTACAACGAGAACACCCTGCAGCACCCATACTTAGCCTATTTTCCTCAGTCCAATTCCAGCCACAAACCAACATATATATATATTTTCACACACGGGTTAACATCATAACAAGGTCACGTACACATATCCACATCACCATCAAGTAAATCAACACACCAACATATGACAATCCACATAAATAACTTATATTTATAATCAAACAATATTACAAAATTTGAGGCATTACAGCATGTATTTTGATGCTGCTCTGGGATTCTATTTATTCTGATTATGTAATTATTATTTGAGTCCTATGTATTTTGACAAATAGTTTGTAAATAATTGTATTTAACATATATAAATGCAAACTTGTAGCCATATTTGTAAAATTATTTTTAGTTGATTATGATTTTATTTCACTGTTACTTAATTAATATTGTATGATTAGTAAATTTTATAACTAACTTTATTCACAAAGAGATGTTTTATTTTCTCATAATTACAATGCTTATCATATACGAAAAATTTCATATTTTATACCAAGTTTGTACAAATAGAACAAGAAATTTAAGAATAAAATTTTAGAATATTACAAGTCTACTGATGATATTCACAATTATTTAATTTTTAAGAAAATTTCTTTTTCAGTTTATCATAACTAATACCAATTGTATTTGTATAATTTTTTTTATTGCCCTTCAAACACTAGACTTTCTATTCCTTCGTATATTCTACCATTTAAAAATACAACAATATTTTACTCATTTTAAACACCATCTTAAAATTTTTTAAATATAAACATAATTACTCCAACAAATTAAATTAACAAAATACAATTATAATTACTAATTTAAACTAAAAACAATTAAGCATACAACATCAATATTAATATTACAAAAGTAAAAATCACTGCAGAAAAAAATAAAATCATCTAACAACTTAAAAAAGAAAATTTTACGTAATTGGTATATTTCAGGCAAGG